TGTATGCTATGAAAATTGTCCCTAGCTGATCATATTGTATCATATCACTACATGAATGTATGCTATGTAAATTGTCCTTAGCTGATCATATTGTATCATATCACTACATGAATGTATACTATGAAAATTGTCCTCAGCTGATCATATTGTATCATATCACTACATGAATGTATGCTATGTGCATAAGTATGACTGTGTAAAGTCTAGGAGTAATCAGCAGTAAGTCAACTGAATCAGACCCATAAAACAAAGTGCTTGACAAAATTGCTCCCATTCAACTATCTTGAATCAGATCACAAAACATATGTGAAATTTGAATGTGAATGGGCAAGGATAGTCCTTGTTAGAATTTATATGTGAAATAGCAATATGTTAGTTAATTTTAATACTGTAGGAGCTATGTAGAAGCTGGTCTTCAGTTTGATTATGGGAATGTTCCAACTTTAGATGTTTATGCAGCAATGTTGTCAAGATCTCCAATTAAGTACATTGACAAGGTAATAACTATATGATCTCATTAAAAACTGACACCTGTACCCATATTACTGTACACCCCAAAAACTATGACACTTGTACCCATATTGGTGGACACCCCAAAAACTATGACATCTGTACCCATATTGGTGGACACCCCCAGAAGCTATGACACCTGTACCCATATTGCTGTACACCCCCAGACACTATGAAACCTGTACCCATATTGGTGGACACCCCCAGAAGCTATGACACCTGTACCCATATTGCTGTACACCCTCAGAAATTATGACACCAGCATCCATATTGCTGTACAACCCCAGACACTATGAAACCTGTACCCATATTGCTGGACACCCCCCAGAAGCTATGACACCTGTACCCATATTGCAGTACACCCCAAGAAATTAAGACACCAGCATCCATATTGCTGGACACCCCCAGATATTATGACATCTGTTCCCATATTGGTGGACACCCCCAAAACTGACACCTGTACCCATATTGCTGTACACTCCCAGAAATTATGACACCACCACCCATATTAGTGGACACCCCCAGACACTATGAAACCTGTACCCATATTGCTGTACACCCCCAAAACTGACACATGTACCCATATTGCTGTACACCCCCAAAAACTGACACCTGTACCCATATTGCTGTACACTCCCAGAAATTATGACACCAGCACCCATATTAGTGGACACCCCCAGACACTATGAAACCTGTACCCATATTGCTGTACACCCCCAAAACTGACACCTGTACCTATATTGCTGTACACCCCCAAAACCGACACCTGTACCCATATTGCTGTACACCCCCAAACCTGACACCTGTACCCATATTAGCAGACACTATGACATCAGTACCCATATTGCTGGACATCTCCAGACACTTTGACATATGTACCCATATTGCTGTATACCCCCCAAAACTGACACCTGTACCCATGTTGCTGTATACCGCCAAAACTGACACCTGTACCCATATTGCTGTACACCCCCAAAACTGACACCTGTACCCATATTGCTGTACACCCCCAAAACTGACACCTGTACCCATATTGGCAGACACTATGACATCAGTACCCATATTGCTGGACATCTCCAGACACTTTGACATATGTACCCATATTGCTGTATACCACCCAAAACTGACACCTGTACCCATATTGCTGTATACCCCCCAAAACTGACACCTGCACCAATATTGCTGGACACCCCAGACACTATGACATATGTATTGAACAGGATATGATTTCAATAAGGCATTACTTACTTATGTACCCATATTGATGGACATCAATACAAAACAGACATCAGTACCCATATTGCTGGACACCCATAGAAACTATGATACCTGTACCCATATTGCTGTACACCCCCAGAAACTATGACATATGTATCCATATTGCTGGACACCTCAATATACTACAACTCTAACAGTATTGCCAGTAATATTGTCTGATCACATTTGTTCACTTTTTTTGCATAATGTATATATTGTAAATAATTGAAAATAATTTTTGTCATACAGAATGATGTAATGATCCACTCGATTCCAGAAAATGAAATACCGCAGTCCTGCGTATCTGTGATGTGATTTTTTTGACAAATATGATTCTGATTACGAATATCTGTTTATCTTTCTCATACTATAGATGATTACACCAACATTGATTTTGTTGGGTGCTGTTGATATCAGAGTGCCACCTAAACAAGGTCATGAATTGTATAAAGCTTTAAAGTCAAGAGGAGTTAAAACTAAGTAAGACTATACTGTATCATTGAGGAATATACACACCGATTTAATGATTCACATTATCCCAATATCAAATGAACATTTTGAAATTATGTGTATGTATGTATGTGTGTGTTAGTGTGATTGCGAGTGGGTGTATGTTGTGTGTGTGTTTGTGTGATTGCGAGTGGGTGTATGTTGTGTGTGTGTTTGTGTGATTGCGAGTGGGTGTACGTTGTGTGTGTGTTTGTGTGATTGCGAGTGGGTGTATGTTTTGTGTGTGTTTGTGTGATTGCGAGTGGGTGTATGTTGTGTGTGTGTTTGTGTGATTGCGAGTGGGTGTATGTTGTGTGTGTGTTAGTATAGAAGTAAAAGTGGAGCCAGTGGTTCGGACACACACCAACAAAGTGGAGCCTTTTGTACAAGTGGAGCCTCAAACATTTCGCTGTTCAGTCAAGTGATATTCAACTTAATTAAAATGCAATTCTACGTTGTATTGCATTGGAAAACTCTAATTAAAACGCAACCTTATATAGGAACGCATTATAATCAAGTTCATATCGCAACTATATTAAAAGTTAATCCAATGTGTGGCTTCACAACTACGGATACCCTTGCATGTGTGTGTGTTTGTATAGAAGTAGAAGAGGAGCCTCAAACATGGGGAGTCACAATATTTCATAAATTATGTTAATATTTAATCGATTTAATCAAGTTTGCGAAGCTTAGGTTTAGTAAAGGGGG